GTTGATAATTCAAACTGCTAATCATAAAATATTTATCTATTTACTCAATTGTAATCCAAATTTATCTAACAATGCTATTTCTTTGAAACAACCAACTACTAAATGATAATTTACATTATAAAAAAGACCTTTGATTGTTTTGACATTGAAATATTTATCCCTTGTGACGGCGAAATCCGATCCACAAAGAAAAAACTTATATATTATTTGTCATAAATGTCGATGTGACATTTGTGGAATGGACGTTTTTTGACGGATGAGTGTAGTGGTAGGAAATGAAGCGTTCTTTGTGGCTGAATTTTGCTTTGACTGACTGACTGACTGAGTTTGGTTTTACGCCGCTTTTAGCAATATTCCAGCAACATCACGGCGGGGGACACCAGAAATGGGCTTCCCACATTGTGCCCATGTGGGGATTCGAACCCGGGTCTTCGGCGTGACGAGCCAACGCTTTAACCATTAGGCTACCCAACCGCCCCTTTGCTTTGACCACCCATTGGTGTTAATGCCCCAAAGTCCATCTCAGGGCTTGACACATTGTGCGGCTATCGACAACTCGGTTGTGCATGTCTGCTGCCTTACAGAATTCCTGAATAATTTCTAGCAATAAACCTTCCTTCTTTAATATGTTTAAGTTTTGTTTCCTCATTGCAAGGACGAACACACATTCAAAACGTTAAAGAATACATGAAAACAAATTCACTTTACACTGTTATTTATACATGAATGAAGTGAAACAAAGAGTTTCCCATGTAGTAACAACACTAATTAAACTTTTGACAAATTCATCTGCACACAAAATGTATTTCATTTAATTTAATTCTCTAAGATTTCTCGTCACAGTTCTTAATGTCTACAATATATTTGAGTGTTCGAGGAGTTGCAAACTGCATTTGCAGTTGTATAATTGTTTTAACTCGACTTAAGTATGTCAAGACGGTGTTTCGACGGAAAGTGAAAAGACATACATAATTAATGAAATTTCCTTTTTAGTGTTCACAGTAGGTTTCTGAAACACGTACTTTAAAATACCTTTCTATACAGAATATTAAGTTTGAGGTTCATTATGCTCAATAGTTATGACAGCGTGATTTCTGATGATCGTGTCCTGTCTTTTTTTCATTTATTATCTATTAACGTTTGTACTATAGCTATACATTCTGTACTAAACACATCTGTCATTTCATGTCAAATCTTTTGTCATGTGCGGTCTATAACTAGTCACGTCTGTACCAAAAATGTTTCAGCATCAGTATTCCTCAAAAGGCCGTATATGATCAACTAGTCCAAGACCCTGGGGATGATGTTTGTAAAGCGAGAGACCTTAAGGTTTGAACATATGTTCTGATGTAAAAGTGCCTCACGGATAAAAACAAGACCGTCCTACAAATCACAATTGTGGCTTTTTGCCCTGTATTTTCATCATAGCTAGACGAAAAGAGAGTCCTGGCTGGTTCACAAAGCCATCCGGTAGTGGGGTGTCAGCCATTGTCGATTCAAGTGGTTCACTTATTTACACAATGTCATGATCTTTTGGGGATCTCCGCTGCCGTTCGGAATCCTGTCATATACCTAGTCCCAAGACCAAGGCAAAGGTTAAGACGTGATGATGGTTTCGGATAACCCTTGTTGTTGCAAACAAAACATCATCAGCTGATGACCAAACAAACCTTTCGAATCTTGTAGTCATGACAATATTGATTGGAGAAACTGCATACAACGTTCTGTAAAACATGTAGAAGGATGTCGGAGGACTAGCAGTACCCTTCGAAATGTGTTCTGCAGTCAAAGGAAACGGAAAGTCCTGATATTTTTGTTTTAGTTTCCAAAATTCATTTCGTAGATACTGTGCAGTTTCTATCACTTTAGATTCTTCTGTAGAAGTTTGTAAAACAGTGGATGAGCCAAGTTCACTTTCATCAACTGCAATGGGAAGCACAACTCTTTTTCTATAAGCCAATACGGTACAAATTTTAACTTCATTTCGAAACTGCTGAACTGACTTACTTTCATTTTTCAGTTCTGTAGCTACTTGTATAGACAACAACTTTATCAATACTATTAGAGAGTGAGTGAGTTTAGTTTTACGCCACACTCAGCAATATTCCAGCTATATGGCGGCGGTCTGTAAATAATCGAGTCTGGACCAGACAACCCAGTGATCAACAGCATGAGCATCGATCTGCGCAATTGGGAACCGATGACATGTGTCAACCAAGTCAGCGAAACTGACCACCCGATCCCGTTAGTCGCCTCTTACGACAAGATAGTCGCCATCAATACTATTAAGTCCGTCACTATTAAATGAGTTTAATAAAGTGTTTGTGACGTTTGTTTCCAAGAAAATATTATATATTCTTGCCACATCCGTCATTTACTATAATTGCCAGTCATATTTACTATCACTGCCAGTAATTTGTGTATGTTCCTGTAGTTACAACCAAAACTAAAATGTCCCCTAATTGATTCGCACAGTTTACATGTAATTGTAATGCATGATGAGAGCTCACGAAAGAGAACAGGTGTTGCATATGTTACGACATACATACCAAATTCAAGTGCATACGGTGTTTTGCCTTTCATTACTTATAATATAATAATAGCACTGTCATAAACATATCCTAATTCTTGTCAATTGTTCACATGAAATAATTCTGGTAGAAAATCGTCCCTCGCCTTCATAGGACAGAGCGGAAGACAGATTTTACACTTTTCAATTGCGCACTCAAAGGCGGGTGGGCAGAAAGATAAAAAAAGACAACAACATCAACATTCTTATGGAATGAAACACGATTTTTCCACTTTGTGGAACATGATGATTCCAGAATTGAAACTCAAGAGTTCAGTGGGAATCAGTCCATAAAGATCAAGATGTAAAACCAACAAACAACAAATAAACGTGCTGTAATCATCTACTCTGTACTAAAATTAAGGTATCATTGGGGCTCTACAAAACAGTGTGGCATTACAAGTTCAGGGGAAGTAGATACAAGGGCAGTGACTATGGCAATAACGATAATAATGGTTATCGTCACTTCTCAGCAACATCAATACAACTTGCAACTAGGGCTAGGCAGGGTATGGTCACCACACACAATGCTGGTTTTCCGGTGAAACCTAATGGGAAATGAGAGGTTATTGCTACATACACAAAAATAAGTTGCCAGAAAAATCTACACTGAGGCCTATCTTTCCATATTATATTCTCTCCATCAGAGGTTCTTGTACATTCAATGACTCAATCCACGTATATTACAAGTCTAGCACACCGCTGTTCATTGCTGACAATTTTTCATAACAGTTCTTTCACAAACTGGTTTGGAATGGCGCAAATTCATGAAACCAAATGGGTCAGTGAAAATGAAACCTTCCTGTCATACTTGTCTGTAGCTGGGGCTAAAATGGCGTTTATATTCAGACACTGAATACACCAACTACATTTGGTGGGTGCATATGGTTACGGCGTTTAATGTACGCCGTTGTTATATTGTGGCAGTGGTAGAGTTAAGCAGTCAGCAGTGTGAACGTAAAGTTAAGCATCTCAATGTTTTCCACACCCTTTTCCCTCTTATATGGCGGGATTAACGGGAGCACTTGCAAATATGTAATGACGAACCGTTTTAAAAACCTGATACGTTTATATAGTCAATGAATTCACTACAGTCTGTTTGGGACGAAATGATACCGATGAATCACAATTTAAATCCAAATCAGTTCATGAGGCTGTTCCTGCAACAGTAATACTGTGACCTTACCCTGGTAAAACTTAACACAGAAAATAAATTAAATTGATGGGTTTTTTTTTAAGTAACTTATTTTAATTTTTTTAAGTAACTTATATATTTTGGAGACAATCCTTATGAATTGTTTTACCAGAGCTGGTGTGATGTTTTTATTGCATTCTGCGATGAAATGAATGTTTAATCATAAACCGATCTGGAGTTAGATAGTGATTCATCAGTATCATTTTCACCCAAACAGACTATAGGTCAAGGTATGCATTTACCATGAATAGGTTAAAATTGTCACAGTATACCCAAGCAGGCGCGGATCCAGGATTAAGATTAAGAGGGGTGCACATAAATCGTGAAGTCCAAAGGTTAAGGTTAGGGAGAAATGCTCCTCTCTTTCATGAGAGGTTCCCCTTCAAATTTTGGGAACAAGTAATATATGTCTTGTAACAGGATATTACTCTTGTCCATTGCGAAAGAGTTTATCAGACGATTGAATATTTCTCTGCCATATAACCAATGACTACATAGAGACCACACGCCGAGAGCATTGAAGTTACATTTCTGATTAATAAACTGCAAATATATCGTTATTTGTGGTTGTTTGTAATTATCAAAGTGCATGATGTACTTCATCAATGTAAGGATGCTGTGAGCAACGGCCTCCATAGTTGTCACACCGACTCACCTTTAAACCAACATATTTCTGTACACTTAAATATTGTATACTTTCTTACTGCACCAAGTCCGTGATTTCATGAGTGGGTATTCTGCTTCCATATCCAGTTTGTATTCCACCTCTGTATAAGTGCCCACTGTCCCCGCTATATTGTACTTAAGGTGCATCAACAGTGGTGATGGGCAGCGAACCGACTTTAACTGCTGTCCATAAAACTGACCATATCAAAGCTATCGAACAGTGCTACACTAGGCATGGATGTTGCTTAAACAATTCTGATATCATGTTTGGAGGACCACAAAAGTAATCGTTCAAAAGATATGACCTAGAAAAGCCCATGCCACCAACAAAATCCTTAATTACGAGTGATGCGGAGGTTGACTTGAAAACTGTATTAGGGAGTGGCGCAAGTAACATACGGCTGAACGTGTGGAGTACATTGGCAGTGTAACAACTGAGATTGTTAGCCTGATATGAAACCCGGAATAAACATCCGTGTCGTGCAATGCGGATGAAATTCAAAAGAACGTAAATTCAGATACTGAGAACATCAGAACACGAGCTCTAAGTTAGAATAGAAAAACCGTTCAAGTTATACATTTTCATGTGTGAACTACGTCTCGAATATTGGATACCATACTCACAAGATACTGTCAACATTCATTGTCTTCGTCAGTACCACACAACGTACTTCCAACAAAGCGAAACCAATCCGTGCAAAGTTCGTATAGGCTGATAGACAGAGAGAATTTTATCAACTACAGCAACAAAGGAATCTTGGGCCCAAGACGAAAACCAGTATGCGATGTTGAGGACTGAGAGTTTCACACACAACTGTAAGTGTATCATGGTGTTTTCTCTACTTCGAGTTGAACTAGCAAATTGTAAAAGTGGGATGAATCCGAATGCAGGTATCCGTGTTTACCAGAAGAGTGGGGGGTAGGTTGAATGGTGATGTGTCCCAATGAACATGTACAGATATCACGTGGGCTTCAGATGTATCATTAAAGTAAAGTTAAAGTATGACTACAAAGGCACATTTGATATACGTCAAAGTAACCCGAGTGCAGACAGTACTATTCCCCATGTTTCAGGCCTGGGCCTGAGCACGTAAGTCCCAAAACATTCCAAGTAAATGTAAGTGTACCATCTTTTTAATAATAGTATTTTTGTCATTTTAATATAAGGCTAAAGGTGTAAATCCAGCTAGGGTCCATGCAGGTAGCAAAAGTAACGAAGTCCCTTCAGTTGTTGGCGATAAATAGCCCATTTTTACATTGTATTGTCCAAAATAGTTGTCTACTTTTAAAGAATATGTTAGCTGGTTTTAACCCATTTTGTGATAATCTATTAATTTTACTGTCCTCCGTTGACAGGGTTTTATAAACTATGTGTATTTATCATGAATATAGAATTTGTTTTAGTCACGATATGGCTGAAATATTGCCGATGTTACTTTAAATCTTAACTCACTCACTCACTCACTCAGGCCTGAGCAGAGAAGATAGAAAGAAATATGGGCACTGTGAGCTGAGAGTGAACAATGTGATTGTTTTGTGTGTTGTTTAAAGGGACACTGGTCTTGAGCATTTCCTCGTGACTGATTATTGTTTTTCCCAACCCGGATGATTTCCCAAATATCTTGACAATTTTTCGATATCTGCTGCGCCACTCCGCAAGCGACCGCCTCCGTGGTGTAGTGGTTAGAGCGTCCGCCCGGAGAGCGGAAGCTCGCAGGTTCGATCCCAGACCGCGTCATACCAACAGACGTTAAAATATGGTACTTGTTGGTCCCTGCCTGGCGCTCGGCATTAATCGGTACTACAAGGACTGGTCGGCTCGGAGTCAGTATAATGTGTCTGCTTCACTGCGGCATGGTATCTCAGTGGGCAGGCACTATAAAAACTGCTTAAGTCTGGGCTAGTACAAGCAGCCGCACTTACACATACACACGCATGCACGTCGTCATATGAGCGAAATATTCTCAAGCACGACGTTAAACCCAATTTCACATCACCCACACAGCAAGCGCAGTTGGTAGTATAAGGACGTATCCTGTCAATGATCGACAAAGACGAAATACAGTTTCTTCTTGGAATTAATTGGAAACGTAATAATCTTTTAACCCTTTTAATATTTCCAGCTACATTATCATAGCAAAAACTGGAAAAATGTTGTGCGAACTTCATCTGCAAGAAGTATAACATGTTAAGATTGAAAGATTGGTTGGTGTGTTGTTTAACGCCGCACTCAGCAATATTTTAGCCACATGGCGGCGGTCTGTCACTAATCGAGTCTGGACCAAACAACCCAGTGATCAATAGCATGAGCATTGATCTACGTAATTGGGATACGATGACATGCCAACCAATTCAGTGAGCCTGGCCACTCGATCCCGTTAGTCGCTTCATACGACAAGCATGGGTTGCTGAAACCCAATTCTAACCTGGATCCTTACCGGTTAGGATTGAAAGAAAACAAAGTCAATATACGTGATTATATTTTTGCCTTAGAATCATAGCATTATTAATTTATAATTATAGTTTTCTGCACTTTGGAACCTCATAAACAAGTACACGATCTGATTTTGTTGATTGCTACAACAAATGAAAACCAACACATATATCAAAATTAAAACCGACTAAAGTTTTAGCAATAATATCGGGCTATCGCCTTGTTAAAGGGATGTATCCATCAATATACACATAAAGGAACGATATGGGTTGATTTGCATCTGACAAAGGTACCTGTTCCATGCCATATGTCTTTTAACAGTCCAGGACCCGTGAAGATCCGGGGTAACATAAGTCTTCAGCAACCCATGCTTGCCACAATGCTTGTCGCAAGAGGCAACTAACGGGGTCGAGTGGTTTAGGCTCGCTGACTTTATCGACACATGTCATCGGTTCCCAATTGCGCAGAACGATGCTCATGCTGAGGATCACTGGATTGTCTGGTCCAGACTCGATTATTTACAGACCGCCGCCATATAGCTGGAATATTTCTGAGTGCAGCGTAAAACTAAACACTCACTCACTCACTCATTTAACAGTCCAGTATCAGTGGGAAATTCTATAAAACGTTATAACTGGTGATAGTTCGTAAACTGGTCACATGACAATGTTTCGGGTTTTTCACATCCGCATATGGTTTCATTGGTCACCCTGGATGGGCATACCTGACAGGTTTTTACATGATGTCCACCATTCTTTAAAACAATTAAATTAAATTTTTAATTGACTGACTTTGAGTGCAATGAGTTATGTTCACTAGAATTGTCTGAGTTCACTTTTGATGACTGAATGTGAGTGATGACTGATTAATTGCTCACTCAAATTAATTGACTCAACTTACATTAACATCATTAATGTAAAAATATCTTCAAATGGCAACAGACTGTATCATTTCCACAACGGCTCATGCCCAGCTAAGAAATTATTTTGTAAAGTTTTCTAGCAATGGCAAAGTGGGGTTGATTTAGTTTATACATGTATATTCAACTAAATGAAATGTGTGTCTTTAAAGTCATAGGTCTAATGACACTAAATTGTTACATGACCTGATTAATTATCAAAGGGTGAAAATGTCTATGTCTTTTTGTGTATAGCATGACTGCTGTTTCGTTTAGTGTGCCTAGTCAAAACTCCGATGTATCATCGGAAGTGAACAAAGGTTTGAAATGAAAATAGAAACAAACAATCAAACCTGACCGGACATCACAAATCACAAATTTCTGTTATGCTAGGAGTTGTTGTATATGTAGGGATACACATTTCCGTGTGCATTTGTATTGTCAGCTAAGCCCGAAATAGAAATCATCGTTGATGTACGTTCGCCAGTTAAGCATTACAACATGAGTAACTTGAACACAACAGCAGATTTTTGTATGACGGAAACTTTTGTTATGGTGGCGGTTTAACCGAGACCGCGGTACAGGGCGTTATTGAGAGAGATGTCTGTATTATAGTCAGACACAGTGCTTGAATGTCGTAGAACTCTCTGGTGCAGACATAGAGAATATTACAAAAGCAAGTGTGCCATACCACTTATACGAAACGAGAGGGAAATTATGTATACTATTGCACCAGCGACAGCGCAGGCAATACATAATTGTGCACGAGTTGGATGAGTTTTATTATCCGTTTTATCCATGTACATTTGTGTAGTAAAACACGGTAAGCAAGTTTGACGGCCCTCTTCAGTGACGTCACAGACGACGAAATACAGAAAAAATGGTTGCAAGGTGATATGTGCATTTATAATTTCACAGGAGATCGAGGCAAAGTAGTTATTTAAAAAAGCGACGGGTCATTATCATAGGATATTGTTTGAGAGCGGGAATGCAAGTTGCTGTACATGAATGCTTTACAACATATCGCAGCATTTTCCAATACGAGGGTTTATTTTTAAAGTGTAATTCAGTTATAAAATCATCAAGATTGGAATAAAAGTTCTCTTTTGCATTGTATTTCATGTTGTTTACTTTATTTTCTGTTTCTTATACAATCGAATATCTCTTTCACTGTCAGTTCTTTTGCTTTCTTTCTCATTCTATCCCATTTTCTGCATTCCCGTCTCAACTGAGTATCTAACCAAGGCTTATCATCAGGACGAATCGTTATAGTTTTAGATCGTACACGTGATCTAACATATCCTGTGAAAACATCGTGAAAGACTTTACATGCATCATCAACACAATCACATTTGTTAAAAATATCAAACCAATCAGTATTTTCGATAAGATTGTTAAGTTTATCGTATTTACCAGTTTTGTAACACCATACTTGTCTAGTAAAACACATTTTGGTGCTGACAGTTATGTCTAACGAAATATAAGTTCCTCTATGATCACTAACTTTCTTATCCGATTCAACAACACCGCTGTCTCGAACAGATATGTCCTCACTTACTATCACAGGGTCTATTAGCGTAGCAGTGGTTCTAGTCACTCTAGTAGGTTCTTTTATAACATTGTATAGATCTTTTCGTTCCATTAAGTTCTCACCATTTAATTGTTTACTTGACACAAATTTTCGTTTATATCTCCAACAATCGTTATCGTACTGGATGCATCTAAGGCTGTTTCTACACTTTGATCTAAACGTTGCCAAAATCTATAGTAATACTCAGGTCTGTATACAACACTTAATATTAAAGTTTTTTGTGGAAGAAATAGCTTGATCCAAATCGTTTCGCGATGAATATTTTCTAAATCTACCATCCTTTTAAATGGACATGTCATGACCCCTCCACCAAAGGCGTTTGTATCTTTTCTGACCGGTTCGTGAAAATTATCCCATAAAAGATCTGTGCTGCTTACAGTCTACCCCAGGTGTGTTTCGGTAAAACAGACAATGTGATAGTCAGAGAAAACTCCACTCAAATAATGTAACTTGTTGCGCACACTTCGTGTATTTAAGTGAAATATATCAAGTGCTTGTTCAGAGTCATGGTTAAATGGGCCTTGATTGGTCTCCACGTCCCCTGCAAGCAGTAGCAAACAATGGGAGGACCAAAGCTATGTTGGCATTATGTAACCGGCATTGTAGAAAGCAAAGAAATGTATACACATATAATAGCCATCAAAGTGTCTTGTGGAAGTCACGATAACACAGGCTAGGGTGTGAGAACTGTTTATTTGCTGATGACAAACTGATGACAAACTGATGACAAACTGACGACAAACTGACACCCTGTAACAAGGAATGAGATAAGAAGAATACAGTTCATCTCACAATCTGACAAATAAAAGCAACAATTCTACATAATCATAAGTGATACAGACATCACTACTTTATATAAGCTTGACATATTGCGGTCGTTGAAGTTACACATA